ATCTTTCTTGAAAGGAAGTGGCATTTCACAATGACCATCTGCTTTAATTTTGATTCCTTCTTCCATTATAGATAGGAACTGCAAATCCTCCTGAGATAAATTTGCATCTTCAACTCTTCTTTCACTAAAGTCAGACTCAAGCATCCTCAACACATCTGGTGGAGAAATGAACTCTTTAACTTGAGTTCTGCAAATATATTTCACTTCGTTTGTGAGATTCTTAGATGTCTGAGGTTTCACAGACTTCATGATGATCTTATGGCTGCTTCCAATTGCATCACCATAGTCGACACACGGGCTAACACAACCGACTATGCTCCATCCAAGATCTGTTTTTTGAGCAAATGGTTCGTTATCTTTACCCGGCACCACTTCTCGGGGTAACAAAGCCTGTGGACAGTTGTAACCTATGAGTAGTCCTACATCACACTCTATCAGTGGAGCAATCTCCTCTGCAAGATGCTCTAGATGTGGCCATACTCTCGCAGTTTTTGGAGTCGGAATGTGACTTAGATTAGCAGGAATGAACTCTCTTGAATAGGTTACAGGTAGAGAAATCTTCTTTGATGAATAAAAACCTCTCACCTGCAGTCCAACTAATCTCTGACTTGGGATGATTGTATTTCTGGATGAAGGTGTGGAGAGTTTTAACTGCACAGGTTCTCCTTTCATGTCCAGAATGTCTGCCTTATCTTGCATGATGAATGTCGTATCGCTTTGGTTATCAAGTAGAGCATAAACAAGAATTTCATTCTCTGGGTTACTTGACGTAGATAACCACACTGGAACAACTGTAGAAGAGTACATGTTGTCCATGCCTTGGACTACTCTGTTTGATGTAGCTTCATTTGAGGGTTCAATATTGTGGTTGTCCTCTGTTTTTTCTTTTGATTTTTTATTTTCAGAGGTTTTTACNACACCTGGGCCTCATGGATCACGGCAGTGTCATATCCCCTCAGACTAAATCTCTTTTGCATCATATTAGACTGTTCCAAAAATTCGCTGTCAGAGCTACAGATACGACGTGTCCTTAAAAATTGTCCCTTAGGTATGTTCCGTTTCATGAATTGTGGATGAAAGGAATTATAATGTAAAATTGAATTCACGTCTGTAGGTTTACGATACAGGGTAGTGTTGACCTCCCCTGTCAGATCTCTATATAT